ATTGTTTTGTTTTATTTTTTTCACATAGAGAGGACGAGTTGCTGTTTGGACACTTGGCGTATAATCATTGTTGGTAATGATCACTAGATCCAATACAAAAACTAAATTAAAAAAAAAGTATTCGTTAAATGGCTTGAACTCCAGCGCTTAATATTTCTTATTCAGCAACTCAACTTTTTTGTATTAAGTGAATAGAAGCCGACTTAATGATTGGACAACTGCTTAAGAATTTTTCTGAGTCTTATTTATATTGTAGTACTGTTTCTGTTTGTCATGAAGTTGTTCATGTTTTTGTTATTTGACATGAAGCTGTTGGTGATAATTATTACCGTTGTCATACTGGTTGCTTCCGTCATCGATCGACGTTGCTCACAATTACGTTTCAACCCATAAGAGGTTTTGTGATTCCATTTAAAGTAAAACGTGCTCTGGTTTTGTGAGGTGTTGATGGTAATTTTTTACCGTAAATTAAAGGTTTTTATTCTGTTTATCCACAGTAAATCATCATGGGTAATAAGTGCTGCGGAGGAGGGAATTCTCTCAAAGGCAAAGAAGACGTCGTGAGTCCAGCTCTTTTAGCCATACGGGAGGCCCAACGGAAATATTTCAACAGCCATATCGAGAGTGACGTTGACGACAGCGAAGAAGACAATGAAGACAGCACCGACGGGCTTTATGGCTCCATGGGCAGTCTTGACACAGACTCTGTTGACGGCCTCCTTATGGACGACTCGCAAACCAGTACCGGAGCTTCTGGGAACGCCCAAACGCCCCTTAGCAACGGCTCCGTGGCTTCCGGAAGTAATGGTGTTGGAAACGGAAGTGCAGAAAGTGGCACCGTTGTCAAGGAGTCTAAATCTACTGTAAAAAAGAGAAGGGCAAGGGCGAAGTTGATCAGACTAAGCAAACGTGGGAACTTCTTCTCCATCTTGAATACAGAGGATAAGAGAGCCAGAGCTGTGAACCCTGTAATGTATGACTACCCCTTTGAAAATGTTGTGTTCGAAGGAGGAGGAAATAAAGGCCTGGCTTACTGTGGCTGTGTTCGGGTGAGTGGGTTTTTAAAAAAATAATTATTGTATGTGTTTTAACGACCCCACCGACACAATTTAGATCACGAGTGAGTGTAGGCCGTGGGATAAATCACAACATATCAACAACAGTATGTCAGGAAAGTTTAGCTCTCGAGATTATACTAATATAAATAATTAAAAAATGAATAGAACTTTATATCGCATATTCCAGCTCATCAGCAAGCTCTATGCGCTTCACAATCTATATTGTGTTCAAGTTGTCTTAATATTCATGTGTTAGTTTGTACAAACATCCTTACAGATATGCCTTTGAATCTGTTAATGAAATGCATTTGTGCTTTGAAAAAGTGAGCTCGATCATGTTGTTCGACTGTTCAACAGTTTCTTTGTCTTTTTTCATCTATCCGTTCCGTCTTTGTGTTCTGACGTCTTTCTTGATTTTGGTTTTTAATAAATACCTCCTTTTAAAGTTTAATTAAAAAAGCAAGGTAATTGGAGAGGCGGAATATCCGATTAAGCGCCCTTCTCCAACCGAATGAAATAAAGTGGGCAAAAAGCCCGAGAACATTCCTGAAACATTTCAGACACAAGCTTTCCCCTTACCACCTAAATTCTTTGTTGGTTTATTTCTTTTTCTCTTTCTCTCTAATTCCTCTTTTTTTCTTTTAAAGACTGTATTGGTTTCTTCATATGTTCCGTCTTTCTTTAATCTAATCAAGCATCCCAGCTTCCTATATATATTGTCCCACCCACTTTTCCGTTCTTCCGAGTGAAACCTGTAAAATCATTATTACCGAACGGTTCACTTCAACATGCACAACTTCACGTAAGGAAACACGATGACGTCACCATTAAGAAAGTAAACCATGAATAATACAATGCTGTCAACATTAATTCTGTTGTTCTTAGATTCTTTACATAATATGCTGTTTATGTGTACCCAGCTGATTCAGTATTATTCTAGCTCATATTGAGCCATGATAACCTCACAAAGTCAAAACATGCAAGAAGGAAGCGAAGCCAGAAAAAAAAATTTCAAGCAGCTGAAAGGACACAAAAATAGGAAACTATGTTGGCTTAGCAGCGAACGTTTCTCATCGAGCACGACATGACGAGAGGTTTTGTTAGGGCTGGTTGAGTAAAATCTATTAGCTTAGCGAGCCTTTCTCATCGAGAGCAAGATGAGAGATTTTACTTGTTGGTTGTGTATAACCTTTAGGCAAAGGAAGTTGGTGTTCCTTTCGTAAAGGGTACACCATGTTTTGTGTTAGAAGGTTTATAAGGTGATGAAAGCCGTCATCACCTGTTGTAAGGCAAGACACACCCTGTAACAAAATATCAAAGCAGTTTATTTCTCAGCCGATTCTTTCCCCATTTCTTCTCCTTTCTTTGTGATGTAATCTTACATTTTTTAGTTAATGGTAAGACACGACAAAAGCAACAGACCCCCCCCC